CAAAATTTTTGAAATATATTGAAGTATTTCAATTCGATTAATTTTTTGGTTTCAATTTATGCTTAAAAATATCCCAAAAAAAAGTTGCTTGGTAAAATTTTTCGTATAATTATTATTATTAATGTAGAAATACTAAAAATTTGTTGAGCTTTAATTTTACAAAGTATAAAATTTCAATAAATGTAAGTACGAAATTCATGCAACTATACTTTCTACAGTTTTTTGCATGCATCATTTTTTAATATTTTTCCTAAATGTTTAAATCTTGTTTTTGCAGTGCTATTAATTGCTCAAAATGTTTGTTGAAATTATTTAAAGTATTAATTGAGCAAAGGAAAGATTCAAAGTAGTAAAAAAATTGTATTTATAAACGAGCAACGAGTAGCAAATTGAGCGAATTTGTTAGAAGAAAAAGTAACTTTGTAATAAGTTATACTTTGTAATAATAACTTAAAGTAATATAAAAATAAAAATTTGTCTGATGTTTTATTTATTTTTAAATTTTTGTGCTCACAATAACGTTTATTCTTGTAGTTAGTGACGATAACCAATTTTCAAACGTTCTGAAAAGTATGCATTCTTTATCACTTCAGTTTATTCTTCTGCATTTCTCTTAGTTCCTACTAATATCTGATTTGCTGATATTATCAGTATTTTCATATTGTTTATGATGACATTATCAGCTTTTTTTGATTAAAACTAAATTACTCTAACTTTTAATTAATTATGTGCGTATTTTCTCTGGTTAAATTATATATGCTTCAGTATAATTTATGTTTGTTTTTTTAAATTCATATTTATTTCAATCTCTTTTAGCATATTTTTTCCATTACTTAAGTTATAACTTCTCTTCTAAAGTTTGCAAAATTATTCTCCTGCAATTGCAGTCTAATTTATTAGTCAGAATATAAAGTTTTTCATCTAAGTTACATTTATGTGCTCTCTTTGCTTTGCTTACTTACAGAATATCAAAAAAGCTGTAATTTAAATGCATAAGTTGTTGCATATTTTTTAAAATACTTGTCCGTTATTTTTGATATTATTTATTCGGCTTACGAAGGAAGCACTTCCTCTACTGTTACTTAAATTTGTTAATGTTTATCATTGATGGATACCATATCATATCATACCATATCACAGCATAAGTAGAGCACATTAATATCGTTGCTATCATTGCTATTATTTATTCATTAAATAGACTCTGATAGTGCTACCATCAACTGTACATGATAATATATAAGCAGAGCTGTCTTTTGGTATCTATGTCACTTTGATTTAACAAATAACTATCTTTGCTAGTAGTTATGATAATGTATCTATCTTTGCTAGTATATTTTATAGCATGATGATGCTAATATAAATAACAATAAGCAGTTGATAATGAAAAATACTGCTAATAGTTATGATAATGTGAATTAATAAACAAGTATTAAACTGCAGACAATAATTAATAATAGTAATATTAATTAATAATTAATAATAGTAATAATTATTATTAATAGTAATAGCTAACGATAATAATACTAGCACTCAGTGAAAAAGTGCTAAGAAGTATTTTTGATACGTTGAAGCCAATATGTATTCATTCATAATTGATATCAATGACAATCATATACTATCATAGCTAATGGTTCTGAAGTGTAGTCATGATAGCAGTAACATTCATTTTTTCTCTTAAAACTGTTATTTCTCTCATTTTATGAATTTGTATGCCATACAAATTGTTCACAAAATGAGAAAAATAGCAGTTTATTTTAGGTGGTAGACAGCATGCTTGGCATGCGATCAGTTGCATGTAATGATACGTGTTATCACTTTGATACGTTTGCTATTAAATTATGGAATAATTTTTTTTCTACCAAAATTATCATTTGGAATATTCAGCAAACCATTTTGAGAGCAGAATCAAAATGCATATTTGCTATTATTATTATTATCATTATTATTATTATTATTATTATTTCATTTTAGGAATTATTATTACTATTATTGAATTGTTTCATTTTAGGGATTGTTTTTTGTCTGTTTATTCTCTCATACCACAAACCAACACGAATGATTTCTGCTTCCATATTTTCATGCAGTCAGTTTTGCAGTTATGTCTGGTAGGTTTTTTCTTTTTTTTAAAAATTTAAAGTTTTTAATTAACTTTTTTTTGCAAGAATTTTATGATATTTCGTTTTGTCCATAATTAATATTATAGCAATTAATTGCTAGAAAAAATCAGGTATAATAATTAATCACTTGAAGCTGAAATCAGGTATAATAATTAATCACTTAAGTTAGTGATTAACGTGGGAATATAATCCTTATTCCTCTTAGACTTACAAGATTTATCTAATACACGAAAAAATATTTACGCTATTTTTCATTCATGCTGTCTAGCACCAAAGTTATTGAAATTATTTTTTCTGAGCAATAATTGGTAATTTATGCTTATTATTAATGTTCTCTTAGAAGTTCAAGTTTAAGTAAGCGATATGTTCTGATTTATTAACTGATTTTTTAACAAATTTCAGTACTTTAAATGCTTAAATGCAATGCAAATAAATTATATTAAATATATTTGAAATAATAATTACGTTAATTTTTTTACCATTTGGAGAAATTTGTATTAACGCTGAAAACATGCATAGTGCTTTCAACTGTAATTTTTACTTGCAATTCAATTTTTTGTATAATTCATTTTTGTTGTCGAAAGGTACAGATTGATACTGAATGTTTATGTAGGAATGAGGAAAAAAAGCAAATAAGACAGAAATCATATCATGACTGACGTAAAAATTCGAAATTTATTTATAAAGTGAAATTTACAAAGATAGCAATTATAAATGGCTTGAAATGTATACAGCACAATTTTAGAAATAATATCAAAGCTGAGATACTCACGTTTTCGTCACGTGTATTCTAAAAGTGTACGACGCAGCGAGTGGTATGATACGGGCGCTGGACACGGACTGGCAGTGGCTGCCAATCCAAAAATGATTGCATTAGCGATTGATGTTCCCGCAGGGGGCATTGTGCAAGTTGCAAAGCTATATCATATGGGAAGGGGACGGATGGAAGTGGGCAAAATTAAAGACCATGAAGTAAGTTACATCATTTATCACTCATTACTGTTATTGTTATCATTATCAAAATAATAATAATAAGTATTATTACTATTATCATTATTGCTTATTATGCTAATAGACAAAATGAAGAATTAAAATCCACAAAACTAATTATTTGGTTGTGTAAAAATACAGCACAGTTTTTGTACTACACTGCTTCATAGATTGCATTATAATTATAATTATAATTATTGCTATTATTATTGCTTTACGTGGTCAAAGTTCATTACAAATAATAGTCAAATGATTACAACTATAATAGTTTAGAATAAGCTTACAAGGCTTTAAAGATGCAAATTTAATGCAAGACATTTTAATATTAAAAAATGTATAGTTTTGAGACAATTGTTTCTATTACAAATTCATATTTCTGTTTTTTTTGAGGGTGCAGTATGTGATGTGAAATGGAATCCTTTTAATGACAATGTTTTGGCTACTGGATCACAAGATGCTACAGTGCGCATTTGGCATATTGATGATATGCTTAGGATTCAGTAAGCTATTTGTCATCTTATTTCTGTTACTATTATTACTATTACTATTGTTATTACTCTTATTACCACTATGAATTTATTAATATTAATAAATTTTTTGCTTTAATCGTTATTATTATTCAGTTGCTTATAGCTGTTCGAAATTGTCTGTTTATAATTTTTTGTTGTGATCACTACTGTTATTAATGATAATTCTGTCATTAGTAGACAATAAAAGCAGTTTCTCATTTTGTATGAAATATATTTTTTTTAATTAAAAAGTTACTGTTAATCATCCGTTTATAAGTGCTACTTATCAAATTGATTAGATCATTTTTATAAGTGATTAGGTATTGTAAAGTTGAACTTCTGAAATTAATTTTTGGTTATCAAAAAGTATCAGTGGAAGCTAACATGTTACATTTGATCAGTAATTGTCTGATAAAATGTTTAGTATTTTAATTATTGAATAATTATTGTAATGTAGTGCAAGTAATTAGATATTGTTATCAATTTCAGCTGTCTACGGATATGTCGAGAGCATTCTCGACGTGTTCACACGGTTGAATGGCACTGTACAGTTGATAACGCGGTGTTTTCAGCATCATTAGACGGTCGAGTAGTGTTGTGGAATATTGAAACAGATCAAGTTGTGTACAAAATTGAGGATTGCTATGCTGTGTCAATTAGTTTAAGGTTTTCATTCTAATTTTATCTCCTTAATAGTAATATCATTGAGCAGTACGTACAATCTACTGGAATTATACAGAATTACTAGAAATCACTGTAGAGCGTATTTAACACAGACATGAATTATTTTGTTGTTGTTGTTGTTTTATTGTCATAATTTTATTTACAAGCTAAAATATAATAAAGTATTTAAGTATTTTCATTATTTATTTTTATTTTTCATTTTTTGCCTTTTACTTTCTTTTTTAAACTTAAAGTTTGAGGTTTATTTTTGAAATTTATTACATTAATTAAATGACACATTTTACACTGATGAAAATTACATTTTGCTTAATAAATAGTATGCAGAAATTGGCAATTTGCTTACCTATTTATTGAATGTAATACAAAAAATATTAATATCAAACTGAATATTTTTTTGTTATTGCTGACAGAATATGTAAAATGTTATTATATGTTTGCAAATTCAATGATATTACTATTATTATTACGCAATATTATCATCTACTATCATAGTATGATAATAACAACAGTAATACAATTGTTAATAATAATGATAATAATAAAAAATAATAGTAATGATGATGAGTAATAATATTATTAAATAATATTCTATGATAGAAAGAGCAGTATGAAAATTACTGCAATGTTTGATAATTATTAAATAATAGTAATAATAAATAATAATATAGTAATATTACTAATAATAGTAATAATAATGCTATTTTAGTTATAATTGCTCCGAATTGGCATTGATAACAAGATCACGCGAATTATCAATTTATGATGCGCGCACGGGTGAAAAACAGCGTAATACGCAGGTTGTTCATGGTGGTACTATGCTTTCAAGAGTTTTGTTCCACGGAATACCTGGCAAAGATAGACATGAACGTGTAATTACAACCGGTAGTTCTCGAAGTACCAGACGACAAGTAGCAATCTACGACTGTCAAACTTTGGATTCCCCTCTTGCAGTAGTTGATGTTGATGGTGGTTCGGGATTGCTTATACCAATTATTGATAATGATCTCAATATGCTGTATATTGCTGGAAAAGTTGGTTCAATTTTTTTTCAACTTGATGTTGTTTACTAAGTTTTCATCAATCTTTGGGATATGCAAATAAAACTTTAAATAATTATTATTTCAGCATAGTTACTTTGACTACTTTTATAATAAATCTGTCAATTACATGTTTGAATTTGAAATTCTTTAATCATTTCTGCGTACTTTCTCTATTTGCTAAATTGAATAATGTTTTTGACGAATATTTTTTTGTGAAATTTTTGAATTTTTTTTGGCTTTATTTATTCCCAAATATTCTATGATAGAAAGAGCATTATGAAAATTACTGCAATGTTTTAATTGTGATGTCTAATTGTTAACATTGTGGTACTATATTGGTTAAGAATCTGTTTTAATTATATAAATTTACCAAAAAAAAATTAAAAAAATTTCACAAATAATAAGTTATATATCATTTAGGGGGATGCAAATATTCGGTTTTATGAATTATTAAATGAAGCACCATTTATCTCATACTTAAACGAATCTTCGGGTACTAAAGCACATACAACAGTATGTTCACTCCCCAAACGTGGCTTAAATATTCTTCAGTGCGAGATTATGCGTATATTTAGAGTAGATGCTGAACAGCTAGTCATCGAGCCATTATCATTTTTTGTTCCAAGAAGAGTAAGTATCAGATTTTATGGCTATATTAAGTAATAGTTACGATGATGTATAATAGGTTATTGTTAATATATTCTTCAAGTTGTTGAAAATTTGCTTACATTTACTAATTGTGTATAAATAAAATTCTGATTTTAATTTGCTACTAAAAACAAATATTCAGAAGTGCAAGAAGATGAAATCATTCAGCAAAATGCTTAATTTAACTTATTCATATACTACTAGAAGAATCGTTGTTCTTATATATCCAAATTAGTATCGTTTTCAAAGGAATTGCTTAGAATATGCTTTTCCTTTTTTTTAATGTATTTAAACTTGATTGCAAAACTTTAAACTGTGAAAAGTTATCATATTATGCGTAATTATGTTATATTTAATGTAGTATAATTATGTATAATATGGAATGTTAAGTTTGTTAGATTTTTCAAATGTATAAGAAAATTATTTCGTCTTGAACATTAACATAGGTCAAATTGAATATTTTGTGTGGAAAAGCTTGGGAAAATAATTTTTAATAAATAAATTAGAGGTAAATTACTTCGATAAAATTTAGGATTAAATGTTATTATATTTAAACTCGTTATCAATGCTTATCAAATGTTTCTATACTTATAAATTCATTACAACAAATTAATTTTAGGCTGATGGATTTCAAGCTGATTTATTTCCAGCTACACGTTCACCTACTCCTTCGTTAACTTTCCGAGAATGGCATGCTGGATTGAGTCGAGAGCCCATAATGCTTGAATTAAAAGATTGCCTTCTGAATTGTACCAATAAACCAGTAACTTTTGCTAGGGAAAGTAATCGAACTAAACTAATGATTGCTGATGTTAACAACGATCGAAAGTTTCGCTTCTTATCACAGGTTCAACTCTTTCATTACTGTAATATAAATGTCATTTGATCTTAGATAATTGTTGTAGTGGATCTAATTAACAGCATAGACTTTCGTTGTTAACTTTTGTAAATTCTGATAACTTGCGTAAACTTTAGCAGATCTGAATTACACTTTTATTCTATTTATTCGCTAATTGTAGATTCGTTTGAGAACCAAAAATGTTGCAAATTTTTTCCGCTTGAAATATGCTTTAAAGTGAAAATTTCAAAGTATTCTTGAGTATATTTAAAATAGGAGTTTCTTGAATAATAATTATGCAGTAAGAGGCAATTTTTTAGTTTCTTATATAAAAGTATTTGTAATATTTTACAAGAATTTTAACTTTTTCCGGATATTTATGTTATTAAAAATTATGTTATTATTAAAATATTTTTGAAATGCTTGCCAATTTTGCAAAGATGGATATGAGGAATTTTGCAAATTACTTGTCTATATATTTACATATTAGGTAACAAAGCCTGATTATCGAGAGGTAACTGATCGAGAAGATCGTGAAGAGTTGCTTAAAGTAGAAAGAATTAAGGCAAAACTCGCAGCTGAAGCAGCGGCAGAGATTGACAAGGAATATACTGTAAATAAGTAAGCTAAGACTATGTTTGCTCGTATTCTTTTTTGCTTACATATTTAGTGGCATTTATTATATTTTTCTGTGTAACGTTATTAAAAGCTATTTTATTAAGTCTGTAGTAAGAATTAAATAAGTAATCTTTTTAGTGAATTATTTGTAAAAATGTATTTTACATATTTGTTAATTTGCAATTAGTGCTCATTTATGAAAAAAACACTAGCGAAAATATGCAAATTTTTGTCTACTTTTTAAGTGAGATAAGCAAATCAAATGGAGTAGTGCACATTGGAAGAGAAAACAGTGAAAATAATCAAAGTAGGCCTATCAGTTTTATCGCTTCAAGTAGTGTAACAGGTGATCAAGCTGATATGATCACACTGAGTGACAAAAATTGGTCGTTAAGTCCTCGGATTGCTGGAGTTGTCGATCGAACGCTATCACATCTTTCTATGAGTACGATGGATTTTATCTATAAAAGTTAATTAACCTAAGAAGTCAAGTCAAATAATTGACTAAACATATTTATAACTTATTTATAAGTTTATTTAAATGTTTAGCTTTTTTTTTCAGTTTAAAATTTTCAGTTGTTTAACTGTATATCCTATTACAATCTTTGCTTAGATATTTGTCATGAAATTCTCACTTTCATTTAACTTTTTTATTTCAAAGCTTGTAATTTTTGCTCAAGTTCGTCTTGCACATTACAGTCATAAAACGAATTACCTTATTAATCACGAATTCAAAACAACAAACGTAGTTAATAGCTTCAAATACTTCTAAAAAATTAAATAACTTTTTTAATATTTTAAATTATTTTTTAATTGTTTGAACATAAGACTTATAAATTGCATCTTAAGTATTTAAAATAATACATTTTAAATAACATCTAATTTCGATAAGATCTATTTTAATATGGATGAAAGCATACATAAAATGCGTGAATTAACACTGCGATACAATTTAACGTAAATTTAGTTGCTATTCGTTCATATTAAGCAGCATAAAGTTATAAGTTAAAATTAATTGCAGATGGTAACATTAATAGTTTTTTTTTGTATTTAATTTAAAAAAATGAAATTATTAAATTAAATCAAAGTATTTGTAGTTATTAATACGTTATTTTAATTAAATTAATTTTCTAAAATTAATCATTTAATTGTTAAAAATATTTAGAATCTTCAAATGGTATAGCATCAAAAATCAGTTCTACACGAAGTATTTCGACGGATGAACGATCTATAACAGAGCATTCTATTCGAGATCAAGACGTGCTGATAAAGCCAGTACAACGCTATAGTTCTCCAATCTCATGTAAATCAAGTATGGGGGCGATTAGAATTGAAGAAAGGCAACAAGGCGATAGCACATCCAAGTTAGTAGCTGACTTTTATGTAAACGCATAATAATATTAGCAGCTCACTCAACTTAGATCAGTTCAGATCAGATCAGATTCGAAATATCCATCTAATGAATTAAAACTTTTTACGTTTGTTCATAACTGTTTCGGTTTTATTTTCGAATAAAATTGTTGCCATTGAAAACTTTTCATTGTATGCAAACAAAATTTGCAATTTTAAAAAAAAGCAGAAAGTTCTTTGCATGCATTAATATCGTTATATTTAGGAAGATGAGGTATGCATATTTTAGTGCTGGAGATGGTTTTTCTGAAGAAGCTATGGAAAATGTTCTGAGGGAAATGGATCGCGAATTATACCAGTGTCGAAGCAGATGTGAGCAGCTGGAAAAAATTGTTCAACTACAACAGGTTCTATTTTATGCAAATATTTAAAAAATCCTTTACACTTAATTAATTAATTAATGCATTAAATTGTATATTTGATTGAAGTTTATTGTTTTGCATAAATTAGTATTCATATATTGCACAGAAATGAAATGTTCATTATCAGATGTTATGATATGAATAATCAATTTCATTTAAATATTTCTTGCATGAGCATGATGTTCCTTATTAACTTGCATGTTACTTTGATTTGTTTTTGTTATTGTTTGTATAAATAATAAAGAAAAAGAAGTAAGCTGTGATCGTACTGATAATTATTGAAAATCTATAGATAGTAATGATAGATAGTTTAGTTGAAAGTGAAATAGTACACATTTTTATATATTCTTACTGAATTTAGTATCATTTTTTGAGATATTGAGGAAGATATTGAGAACGTACAAACGTTGCGACGAGTTGGAAATGTTGATCGAGAAGCAAAAGGTCATTATTACTACTACTTTCTCAATTAACATTGGAAAAGTAATTATATAGTACTAACATATTAGTAATAATAATAATAAGTTAGTACTATTATAGTTTGTCCGTCATTTATTTTATTGTATAATACAATAGTGATACTTTAAGTGATTGTAATGAGTAAGTTAATAAGTAGTCAGTTGGTATTTGCGTATACTTTAAAAAGTGTAAAAATTTTTTGCGTTCAATACACTTCCATCCCTTTGCGTATTTATTACCCATCTTGCCTTACCTTTTGTCTAACATTTTGCAAATTATTCTGTAAAATATTTTCAAAATTTTCACATCAGAATGTAACTAAAAAGTGTGAAATTTGTTTAGTGAACTTATTGAATTAACATTCACTAATTGAATTAAGCCTTTTAATCCTTTTTATGTATATTATGTTTTTATCAGTTAATTATAAACAATGTGTAGACAAATTTTTGTATCCATATTTATGGCACAAAAGCTTTTTTATTATTTTTATTCTAAAGTTAACAAATAATTATTGCCATTTTTTATATTCTAAAATTTTGGACTATTTTTCATCTATGAGTTTTTTATATTTATCTATTTTATCTGCTGCTCGTCTTGTGATGAATTAATGTTACTTGACTGATTTGAGTGTTTTATGCATGAATTTGGATGAATAACCGCTTTTTTGATTTTAATCATGAATTTCTAAAATTTGCATAAAATTATGGCTAAATTAATGCAGAATTAGTTTTAAATATGTTTAATTTTTTTAACAAAATTATTATATTATGAAAAAATTATTGTATTTTAGCAAGATATTGACAGTTTACGATACGAAATTCACTGGAAAGACAGTCGAATTGATTTTCTTCAAACTCAATTACAACAACTTGACGTGGCTCACGCTGCTACTTCACGATCCTCCTGATATAACTCTTTTATGGCATTTTCATATGTACAGTACAACTTGTATCATTTACTTCTTTTAAATAACGTAGTGTTTTTAAAATAAAAAGCAAAAATTAGCAATATTATTAAATTTGAATGATTTATTTTATTGCCAAAGACATAAAATATTTTGTTATAAGTAAGCATTTGCATACTTTTACGCAAATATTATTTGAAGTGTAAATAATCCAAAACGCTCAAATTTTACAAAGCATTCTAAGTGAGAGTAAATAAATATGCACGATCATTTTTTTCGTATTAAAATGATTGTTTTGTGGAATTCTGATTTTGTATATTATTGTTTGTGCATTTATAAATGTGTTATTGTTCTAATTCTAGTTGTATTACAGATAGCATTTTTATCTGATACTAAAGAAATTGCACTCAAAAAGGCTTAGTATATAATAATATCTATTTGATTTGCATTAAGAACAGACTTATCGTATGGAAGATTTTGACAGTTTTGCTTACTTTGCAAGATTCTTACTTCAAGATTTGAATACTTTAAAATTTGAATACGAATTCAAAATTTTCTGCTTTATATTTGCACAAATTTGTGATGGAAGATATGAAATTGCTTTGCTTATTTTCTTATCAAAATATGACAATTATTGTAAATGATTTGATTGAAATACTTAGGAATCGCTCATTTGCATATTAATTTTCATGCATGAAGTAGTCACTCTTATTTTGGCATTTTTTTCTTCTAAATGAATGTAAATTTTATTTTCGGTCATTCGCTTGTATGTCTTCTCGTGCCATGCAACTGTAATGGCTCACTGCAAAGTGAGAAAGAAGATTGTATATTGCTAATTATTTCATTTGTGGCATTCAATAAAACTTTAA